GCTGTAAAAGTTGTTAGTGTCATACATTACCAACCCCAAAAATGGGAAAGAATGCTTGTTTTCAAAATATAAATGAACATATCTGAATAGTAGCCCGTTCCCTTTTTTTTTTTATCCTGGTCGGGTGGGGTTGGAATCGTTGGTATCAAGCATTCCATGCTTCCTTCCTTTATAAGAGAGTGGATTGATGTAATTGAGTTTGTGATACCTAGGTTTGATGGTGTTCATATTCATATTGTAGATGGCGCTATATGATTCAAAGGCCAAAATTTTGCTCCTGCTTTGATTCATTGTAAGGGATCACTGTGCATTGTAATTGCAAATCCAAATGAAAGGACAAAATTTTTGGTACATGATGAATTGGAGCGTACGAACAAGATTAAAGAAGAAAGGGAAAAAAAAGGTTCTATTATGAGTATTTTATGCAAGCATGTCACATCTATAAACACCTCGGATGTGATTCTATGGGCATATGTTACTTGACAAAAAGTTTTAAGTTTGAGAAAATATGTTTAATATCATTTATTAGTTTTAATTATAGCCCAGTTTGACAATTATTATTTGGGGAAAACAGAGTTTTAAATAGTGATTTTTAGGAGAATATGTGATTAAAAAGTGTGGAAAAATTTTGAGTTTAAATGTAAATTATTTTATTACGTAAATATGTTGTAAAAAATGAGTATGTAAAAAAAGTTTGAAAATAATGGTTGTCGGGACATAATATAAAAAAAATTGAAAATAATGGCTGTCAGAACATAATATAAAAACAAAAAGAATAAGAAAAAAAAATATTTATAATATTTGGTAATAATTGGGTAAATTTTATATAGGGTCACTAAACTTTCTGCGAAGTTTTAATTGGGTTATCAAATTTTAATTTATTTAATTAGATAATTGAACTTTAATTTAATTTTCCCAGAAAGTCCCATGGATTAATTTTACCCGAATAAATTTCTTTGAATTATCCAAGTTAATTGCTGATAAATGTGCAAGATCGGAACCATTAAAATAATATTTCTTCAAAAGCCGTTAATCGCTCGCAAATGAATATTCACAAACTGACCCAGTTCCAATTTCTTAAACATTAGCTGATGAAAGAAAAATCCATATTCACTAAAAAAAATCCAAAGTGCATATGGCTTTTCAATGCAATTCTTTGTCATATTTCACCTGCAAACCATGTACAAGAAAACGACTCACCTCTCTATTCTCAACAGCCCGTTTTACCTCACCTCAAAAGACTCCATATTTTTGCTATTCTAGCACATTGAAGCTTTCAACGCCCAGGTCTTTATATTACACGGAATAACATGTCAATCTGATCTTTTATTACCTAGAGAATTAAAATAAGAAAATAATAGTGGTGACGAACATAGATGACCAGGGCGATTCTTTTTAGTTTTTCTACGAGTTTAGATTGCAAAAGCACTCTCTGTCAATATATATTCTGGAAATGTTGGTTGAGGAAGTACTGCTTAGGCCGGGGTGGCAGTTCATGTTGTACGATGGTGGCCCTTTGGTCCATGAGTTCTATTATTTCGTCCGAAAAGAGAATTCTAATGTGATGTAGTTTTGATATGAAAGAAGTGCAAGCAAAGTTATTACAAAAATTGTTGTATAGACGAATCTGAGTCATGGGCGGATGCAGATTTTCGAAACTAGGGGGCACAATCTAACTTTCACAAAGTGACGAAAAAATAAAAAGAGATGTCGCATAGAGCGTCAACACGTACTATAGTGTTGAGAAGTGCCATTTTTCGACATTTATCCGATATGGACCTGCTACCCCATAAGAGTATCTATGCTGAAGAGTATGCCTTCCCTAAAGAAATATCTTCCAAGTCTAAAATACCTCGACTTTAATCTAGGTAAAACCAATTTGAGTTATTTTATGTTCCTTGGAAACAATGATCTCAAGCAGTTGACATGTGATGAAGCTTTGAGTCCTCCATTTTAACCTTCTTCCTTCCACCCTTTCAAGCAGTATGGTTCTTGAACCATGACTGCTTGCCGGGTTTCGGCTACTCATTTTACTCTATTCTAAACATCAAGATTAAAAAAAGCCATCTATCTGTAAAAAAGGAAAATATATACAACTTCATGAAGTAGAATATCATATCTGGCTCTCAGGTTATAAGAAACTAATAAGAAAAAACTCTGGTTATATCTCAACAGCACAACTGAAAATTTAATAACAAAGATATGCAATAAATTGCCAAATTTAACTCTAGATAAGGAGTCGCAATTCATTC